TATAGCAATCCAGCTGAGAGCACATTGCTCTTGTTACAGCTCCTAATTAGAAAATGTGATGGTATTGCTTGTAAATATGCTGCAGTGAGCCAGTCTCTCGGGCTCACAGTTGCTTTCCATGCAGGCTGTCGGTCAAGGTACCAGACATCCAGGTACGGGATGGGAAGGAAGTGAAAGGATCATCGGGGAACGATATGGAACCGTTGAGAGCAGTAAAGCTTCCTAGAGTTTTATTTCTCCTATTAAAGGTTTAAGTGTTTAAGAAATTAACCGTCTTCCACATTTCCACAAGCTTTATTAAGATCATTAAACGACCTCGGGCCTGCTGGCGTCGGGTCCCCGCCGAGGTGTTTCATCACCGGAAGGGTTTGTCAATGTCCTGGGTCTTAGCCCATCTTAACCCATTTAGAAAGCAATTTCCTGTGAGCAGAGAGGAATCTCTCCTCTTGAGAAAGATCTCTAGGTATAAAAGGTTAGCTTTTCTGTAATTCCTCATCTTGCAATGTAGCGCAGCCGATAATAAGAGGGAGACAACTGTTTGTCTTAGGTTTACCAGCTCAAAATAAGACGAGCAAATTGCTTGAACAAAGTAGAAATGTCAGCTGAAGTAGGCATGGTGCAATAAGCAATTAGGAAAGCTTGAGTTGAGGATTATCAGAATAAGTGTTCTCAAATAGTACTGAGTTTTATTTCCATACACACTGAATAAATTCTTTGTCTGTGTATATTTCATCAATAATCTGTAAAGACACTACTGTGTCAGAGTGTGCTCTTACCTTCTGGAAGCTCATTTGTGAGTTTCTTGAGTTTAAGCTTTGGACAACTTGGGAGAATAGTTAATTGAGATCAGAGATGTAACCAGGGAGTGAGCTTCCAATTTTAGTCATTTTGGCTCTTCTTGTCTGCAGACTTTCTTCCCCCTGAACCTCAGTCTAGCAGGGCTCCAAAGTCCCGGCCATTACGAATGATGAATTGTGCTGAAGTTAAGCTGGAAGTAGGACAAATTGATCAAAGTGTCAGGCGCCCCCTGTGATGTTGGGGTCTACGTGAAGAAGGAGCTGTCAAGAAGTTTCTTGTAGCACAGTTGTTGGAGATGAATGTTTACCTGGCGTTAACAGGTTCCGCCTTCTGTCAAACACGGAATCTGTCGTTGTTAGCCTACATACAGACAAGCTGCTGAAGATCTTGGGAGCCGATATAGTTCTAGAAGTGCAAAGCATTCGCCATATTGTTCCTCAAGTCCACAGGAGGCGAACCCTGTGCTCTCCTCGGTTTTTTTGAACCAACGCGCTCTCTATTTGAGGTGTAGTGCTGCAATTTGAGATAAGCACTACTTTACTCGGCTCTGGTTTTGTTCAGATAAAGCTGGTCTAATTAAGCTTGATTTAATCGGGATTGCTTTTAAGCACAGCACACGGCTTCTTTGATTTCAAAGTAGCCCTTGGGAAGGACTTGAGGAAGAAAGGGAGGAAATGAGATAGAGAGTAAAATTAGTGAGGGCGTCTTAAGAGTTGCTTTTTTAAAATTTGCATAAGACATGTTTCTATTCTTAGTTGTACTGTCTTTTTTTACTTCTGAGAGTGATTGCAGGTTGGGTGGTTTGTAGCTGGAGAAAGAAGCAACATCTGCAGATGTTACTTTCAACAGTAATAAAAAAATTGTGTAATTTCATTAAAGCGACCAGCTACCATTTATAAAATCATATTATATACAGTTTGTTGCCTTTAGATCAAGTCATTCTATTTGTTTTGCTATTTTGTTGGAAATCTGCATTTATTTAAGATAAAATCAAACCCTTCTGAACTTCTATGATGACATCACAAACTGTGCACATATTTTTAATTAAATCCCTCTTTTAAGGAGCTGTACGGCTGCTGTAAAATATTTTACCCATATGTGAGTCTAAGAATAATTTGTAAATAAACTTATGGAATTGGCTTCTGAAGCGGTCCGACTGAAAAAACAGCAAAAACACAAAATCTTACCAAGTACAACTTTCACTGGCAGATTGTTTCACTTTGAGAAAAATGTATAGTTAAAATAGAAATTATTTGCTAGTAGAATGAGTACTTAAAAAAATATATATATATCAATATTAAGGAATTATTCACTTACAATAAACTCCTGTAACTTGCTGAAAAGTTACTTGTAAGTTTTGTCTTATTTCAGATGTACAAAGATATATGCACTAAAAACTAGACAAAAATATAAGATTTAGGAATTTTGTAATGTAGCCACATCTCTTCATAAAAAAAAAAAAAAACTTAATCAAAAAGCCAAATTGTTTTGAAGACCGTTCAGTCCGATGGATACAGTAGTTGTACTGCTGCTGCATTAATATAAAATAATCAATAAGACAATTATTATAACAAATTTAAATTAAAAAAAAAAAAATGATAAATATATATTAAAAACAGCAATATATTTTATGCCTATATTTCTAATGATTTGGAGTTACACCTATTGAAAAACCAAATTTTGGATTGTTTAGTCAGTAAGGAGACAGAAGACTGACCTGTTACTCAGTGGTCCATAGTCTTTATTTGGGATGAAAGTTTTGGTTTTTATTTGGAAATCAGTGTCCGTATCAGTGCTTATTTCACTTTCGTGCAAGGCTGTGGAATTGCTCACAGTGTCAAAAGTATCAATACCTTCTTTTACGATCAAAGTGCTTGATAAGCAAACAAATTAGGAAGACCAAAGCAAAACTGTGCTTTTGTTTTAAAAAATCCTTTATTTGCGTTATGTAATCGGCTAATTTTTTGACAAATTCAATTTGTGTTTTCATTGCTGCGTCCTGCAATGGAAGTGCATGCTTTACCAAGTTGTGTTTTATTGCCAATATACATTTGTTTGTAAAAAATAAATGAAAAAAAAGAGTTGCACCACTGGGAAATGCCTATATTTTAATTGACTACCATTGCCTGACTCTTGTATCACTGAGCACACACGCAAATAAAAAAGGTTGATTACTCCTGTAAAAGTGCTGAGTCTGAATGTAGAATTTTTCTCCACAAAATTTTCCCTCCAGCAATAAGCACGTTGCAAAAAACAATGGTAAAACCTTGCAGAAAGAGCCAGTTTACTCATACATGCAAAAGAATTGATTGCCAAGTCTCCAGGTCCACAATAACTCACCCTAATGATCCTAGTTTTAAAATAATGTCTATTCTAGACCAGAATGATGAAAAGGTTGCCCCTCTAGCTCATTAGTATGTGGGCGCAAAGATAAATGACCCAGATATGAAGCCTAAGCTTATTTTTGAGCTGCGTAGCGGAGCTTCATGCACGCAGTATGGCCGCATCTCGTCCTGCCGTTGGCCTTGCAGCTCTTGAAATTCTCTAATGCTGACTGCCTTCACTTCTCTGGTTTCATGGATCCACAGGACAGATGAAATGGTGGACAGGGGGAGTGTTTTTCGGAGCCCAGTCCCAGTGTCATTGACTGAACAATGATAGAAAGCCTCGGTATTGAGCGGCTCCACACTAAATCTTTGTAAAGAGCACTTAGCTCCCCCTGCACTAGCCACAGAAAGAATATCTGTCAATGACCATCACTGGATGCTTTTATCCTGAGACCCCTCTCTGCTAAACTCTAACCTAAGCTAAGTGTGTTTTACTCCACCACAGCTGTTTACTAAAAACCAGACGAACCGAACTGAGTGATGGCCCTGTCCATCAAGACTCAAGTAGCTGCTCTGAAAATGGTTGCAAAATTATTTACAGTCCTTGAACTTTTCACATTTTGCCTAGGTTCAGCCACAGACAGTAATGGGTGTTTTGTGATAGATTACATATTATGATATTGCAGAAGAAAAATGATACATGGTTTAAAGATAAAAATCTGAAAAGTGTGGTGCGCATTTCCACATTTTGCTGTAGCTCCAGCGAAATGTTCTTCTCCATCCAAACTCAATCAGATTAGATGAGGGAATCTGTGAACATCAGTTTGTAAACCTTAGAAAAACAGAGGAAAGTCTGAACTATTCTAACACATTAATATGCTTTTATTTAAAACGTTTAAGTTCACTTCTCAAAAAAAAAAAAAGTGTTTTAATGAGACAAAAGTTGTTGATTTTGTTTAAAAAAAATATTTTAAAAGAAATACATAATTTGGGGTCAACAACAAAATGACCCCAATTTGTGTCATTGTTTTCCATTGTTTTGGTCTTGAAACTGTTATTCCACTCTCAACGAGATTATTGCTATATGGATCAATCTTTCTCTATATAAACAAGCTTCATAAATTGGTGGGTCAAATTGTGCTTTTCCTTATGTCTTTCTATGTGTGTGGTTCTATTTACTATGGAATTAAAATTGAAGCAAAATCATGGTTTGTAAAGTCAGTTGTTCTTTTCATTTTCACTCCTCATTTGCGCTACTTCCATTCTTTTAACCTAACTACCCTGGCTTGCATCAAGCATATAGGAACAGCTGCCTTTCACTATCCCTGATTGGTTTAGACTTCAATAATGCGTCTGTTGTTAAACTATATGGAGTTTTTTAGAGTCTGAGACTTTTTCTCCTCAAACGTTTGGTTGCACAGATGTCTGTTTTTTTTTTTTATAGTGTTACTGTTAGGTCAAAATTAGGTCACATTTTACCACCAAGTTGGTTGACCTTTGGAGGTTGACCTTTAGAGGCCTGAGTCATCTGCATCTTTTTTGTATGATGGGAATTTCAGCCAAGCTGCACTTTTGGGTTCGTAACAAGTGGTCCTCAAGAATTTGCTCTAATTGGCTCTGTCTGTATTTAACCAGCTCTCCTGCTAAGAATCCCCGCAGAATGATGCTGCCACCACCATGTTTTTACAATGATTTATGATGTTTTCAGGCTGTTAGTTCCCTGGGATAAATAGTTTGTTACTTTTAGGCCAAAAGGTTAAATCTGAGTCATATAAACAAGTCACACAAGTGTATTTGTGATTATCTGCAAATGTAAAGGCTGCATTATGTTTTTCAATTCAAACATGTTTTTTCTCTTCTTCTGTCCTCTTGCAGAAGGGGATGAAACTGGCGTGATGGACAGTCTAATGGAAGCTCTGCAGTCTGGAGCAGCTTTCCGTGATCGGCGAAAACGGGCACCACGAAATGGTAGGAAAGCAGTTCCTCTGTGGGATCACCTCTTATCAGTCAGTCTGTTTCCTGTCCAGCTCAACGTTATAGTTGCAAAGTGATTGGCTTTTGACTTTACACATCTATGCAAATATTGAACCATCTCAAACCACTTTCGCTTGCTTCAAGAATTTTCTTAACCACATGAGTACAGAGTCCATAAACAATCAGTGTCCCATCGAAGGACAGAAGAACTGTATGATCCTCTTTGTATTCATAAATCTCTCAGAAACATGACCAAATCCAGTTTGGTTTAATCCTGGCGTATTCCTCTCTGCCTTGACGAAAGGGCCATGCTCAAGGGAGTCCTACTTTTCAGCAGCGTGAGAGGGTCAAATGAAATGCAAGTCGAGATTTCAGCAGCTGAGCCACAGGTGCTGCCATCTCCATTCTGCCAATTATTGACATAAGATATCTCATCACTCCAATGGGGGTGATGAGATGGACGGGAGGCTTTGGGTTTTAAATTTGAGATTGAGACTCAGATGGTAAATAGCTCATTTAATAGCACCATAAAGTTAAACTACTCACTGTTTTAGTTATTACATTGCACAGATTGACACATTTTTCAAATAATATCAGTCATCCACATCAAATATATGTGCATATTGTTCCTGTTCTTGATTGTTGTTCTTCAACACACTGCTAAATGAGCTGCAAAAACAACTTTTTGTCTAAATAAATTTACTCCTCTCCCTGTGCATATGAGATATAACAGAACAGAAACCAATAGTTTAACATCTAAAGTAAATTTTAACATATGTTGGTGTAAAATAGCATCAGATTTCTTTTTCAAAATAATGACAAAAAATGTTGTGGTGAGTATCAAATGTTTTACTTTTTATTCAGGCCAAAACCTGATACTTGAAATTAAACCAAAGACTAGTTTTCATTCTCATTTTCAATGTTATCTTAAGAAATTGTCCTCTTATTGCTTGGTCTTATTTATGTGTTTGTTTTCTTCTTTTTGCTCTTTCTTTGGGACTCGTTCTACCTCAAATGTGTCACCTCTGATGGATTTTTCTCTCTTCCTTTTTCACCTTCCTTTTTTCTTTCCTTTTTTCTTTGACTGCCCACATTGTTACAGGTGATCAAAGCCCTTCCAGTCCAGCCTCTCGGTGGCCAGGTGCTAACTATGGTAACAGAACTCTAGGTGTGTCTTTATTTCACTGCCTTTCTTAACCCAGACCCAGCACGATTGTTGGTCCTACACTGCACTGCTCCTGGCTGCGTAACTCACATGTCCTTCCTGTCAGAACATGTAATTTCAGCTGGTCTATGAAAAAGCAGAGTCCTGTGCTGAGTTGCTAACGTTTTTTTAACTCGGAAATGACATTTTGGGGAGTGTGAGATGCGTTTTGGTTTTTTAAAGTTCAACTTATCGAAATCCAACTTGGATAACACGAATTACATCAATTTAACTCTTCATATTCTTCTAAGATGGGTAATTCTAACTAACTAGTTTTAAGAACCTTGAACACTATGTTTACATTCATTCATTCATGTTTGTGCTAGATTCCTGATCTAGCACAAACACAAACATTTTTGTTTGTGTTTGCACAAACATTTTCAGACACAAAATTTATTGCAGTCCTCAACCTAAACCCAGTTTATATATTCATTAAAAATGAAGCCAGAGAAAGGCTAGCTGTTCTCTGACAAACACTACAAACAACTGAGAATACAGGCTGAATGAATCAATATCTTGAGTTAAATTCATAGAGATGTTGAATTAATGTTGCGTATGTGTTTTTATGAATCCTTTTTCATAGTTCAAAGTGAATCCCAAAAAATTACCGCGAGCCTTAAAGCAGTCAAAGCACTCAGCACATTTTTCTGTACTTTGGATCAGCTGCTGTAGTCAGATGGTTTTACTGTCTGTCCTGTTGGGCTGCATGGTAACTGAATATCACTTTCTGTCTTGTAGCAGTTTCAGTACATTTTCCGCTTTTTTGTAGTGTTTCTGAAACTTTTTGTTTTCTGTGTATCAGTAGATTTGCCACATATTTTTGTTGGAGATGTTATGTACCAGCACACTAGATAGTTTGCTTTTTGAAGACTTGCAAATTGTATGCTTTACTGGCTGTTTGATTTTCATATGTATGTTTTTACTGTTATAACAACTTTGCATGAGAAGATGTGTGTGGCAGGAGTGTGATGTTGAAGAAACTGAAAAATGAGACTCAAGTTTATGGCATTTTTTAAAATGATGTTAACCAGTTTAAGAGATTATGTTAATTGGAAAACTTTTACAGATGCATTTAATGAGCAACAAGTGGACTTTGATAAGACGACGCCTAGTGTGGTAAAACACCTTTAAAATGTATTTGCACTCTGGTGGGATGGGGGTACTCCAAGAAATAGCTCTTAAGAGTTGGGCTGGAGTCAGAAACCTTATTCCTCAGCTGTCTACATTGGAAATACTGAATGAAAAGTGTTGTGGTTGTTCATAAATCCCCAGACAAAAACTGTTACATCCTGTGTTCCACAACCATTGAAGTCTGTCAAAGGCTATGGCTGTTGTATGAGACATGCCCTGGTTTAAATGACGGCATCTTTGGCAGATTAAATGGCTCCGAATGAAGGGACATCCTCAAACTCAAGAGTTTCACTGTGAGAAGGAGTCAGAAAACTGACGGAAAGGGAACGTTGGGCTTAGTTCATTTTATTTTTTAGTTAGCTTGGACATTTCCACAAATTTAAATAGAAACATTTGAAAAAAGAGCAGACATGTTCCTTTCAATAAATAACTTTATTCTAATTTCCTAAAAGACTAAATCATTAAGGCTTTTGTAGGTTCTGTGGAAAGGCTTAATGCTTGAATCATGACACTCAGAACAAGCGTTTCTTAACATCTTGCATAAAAATAATCGAAAGTAAAGACAGTAGCATGTCCAGGATGACCATTTAAGGTGATGGCAAACTCTGCTAATCTATCGCTTTTGGTTTTGCTGCTGCTCTTTAAATCCTTGTCTGTTCACATATAAAACCGGGCAGAGAGATTGTGGAGTTACGAATCTGATGTTTGCCAATAACGATTGATAGAACAGATGGTTTTAACTTTCCTCTTTCTCCCTCTGCTCTTTGGGACTCTGCTTTCATCTACCCATTAACTTTAACCAGTTTATAAAAGTCTAGTTTTCCAATCTAAATACTAGAAAAGTAACTACTGGATTTGTCCAAGAGATATGTTTTCTTGGAGTTTAAATATGTACCAATAACTATAGCCATCTTTATTGCTCTAATTTTTAAGCTTATTTAAACATTGAACTTTTTTCACAATTCTAACTTCCCTTGTGAAATCAGGGTTTCTTTAAAAATGTTGAATGATTTCAATCAAATCATCAATTTTTTTTTAATCGAATCGATTTATAGGACTTAAAAAGGTCTGAGTGTCATTTATGCTCTCCAAAATTATATTTTTCCATATCTTGAAATTATTCCACGTTTGTTCATTCATTGTATGCGTTGTAATTCTGCCTTAGAAATTTGAGTGTTGCTAATTTGTTATAAAGCTGCATGATGCAGCAAACAGAGCTGTTGGAAGAAACTTATTCCCAGATAATTAGTTTCTCGAATGAGCTTTGCAAAAGAATCTGACTTGTAAATATGCCTCATTATAGTTTGTTCAGATGTTTAAATTAAACCTGTTCTTGTAACCTTATCAACTGGAACCTATTTCCTCATGGGAAGCTGTATAATCAGCATAGTTTGTATTTAGGAGTTTTTTTCAAATTTTATTTTATTTTTTCAGGATTGATGTTTAAGTTAGGTAACTTTGATTTAAAAGTACTATAGTTAGGTAGGTTCATAGCTATATTTTCATTTTAATCACAAGTTCTTAATGTAATTTACTGTGCTTTTCAGAAACCTGGGAAATGTTTGATAGCTGAATCAGTGACTACTGTGCCCTGAAAATCTTTAAATGTCTGCAATTGTGATAAATAAATCTATATACATGACAGATGTGTAGCACCTCTGCTCTGACTATATGAGCTATAGAGTATGACAAGCCTACCCTGCCTTTGTTTCAGATTTGAAGTAGATATTTTATCTAAACCTCTGTATTTCTTTGACCCATTTTCTAGTTTTTTTCTTTTGAGACAACAAATAAGATTTGGTGGTTTTATTTCCTGTTGGGGACTGCATCAGATTCTTCCCAGGAAACTTGGTTTCCTCCTAGTGAACAACAATTTTAAAGCCACCCGCATGTACTAAGTATCTGAGGATCACTGTTTACTGATATCGGGCTGCATGGACGCTCTACTCTGAATTGTTGAGAGGAGAAAATCCTTCTCCATCTGCCTTTTTTTAAAGATACAACAAGTAAATTAATTTTCATTTGCGTTATGAGATGGGGTGCAGATATATTTCTACATATTTTAAACTTTAGAAGGCAGATTTTTAAGTTTGGTGACACTCCTTCATGATTGATGGTTACATGACTAAACATGTCACTTAAAGTTGCTTTTGATGGGTTGGTCTTGACTGAAATCTTAAGGAAAGATGCTCTAGCTTTTTTCATACACTTTCATTTAGCATTTTTGTGTTTCCTCCCTGATCTGCTGGGATTGACAGCATTTTTATGTCATGTTTTCTACTAGTAAAAAGAAGATTTTCATAGCAGTTTTAACAGTCAGTGTGCCAAATCTATTCAATCCTGCCTGTCATGTTGGTTGTAATCTCATTCTTTAAAGCTTGATTAACCTCCTGTCATCTTTAAACGAGCAGCGTGTACCAGAGAGAGCCTGTCAGAGACGCAACAAGAGTCTTCGCTAACGTCAAAAAAGGAGCTAATTTAAAGCCAGCATGCCATTCTCCTTCATCCTTTAGGCCATGCTGCACTTCACCAGTCTACCTCGAGTGTCAGGCTGAGCACAAACCCAGGCCCCGCCAGTCACAATTACACCCAATTCCAAAAGCATTTCCTATTTCCTTGTCTCCACTTTGTGTAAGATGGAAAATCTAACCCCAAGGGCCCCAGTCATGTGTTATGCAATTACACCAGCCATTCCTAATTCAACACACAGAACTTGGGTAGATTGATGAAACCAGCAAAGCTGTGTTTCTGCAGTGGGTTCATTCTCATTTCAACATGATTATTTGTAGATTATCTCTTGTTTTTATAACAATTTGACATTTGAACACTCATTTATTTATTGACAGACTCATGAAATGAGATTTATTTTTTATGTAGAGAAAAAGTTTCCTATTTTAGCAGCATGAATACAGTGAAGTCCACAAACTTTACTTTTCACCTGGGTTTTAGTTTGGCTGTGGACTCCAGGTGAAGGCATTTCTCTAAATTAAACTTTCTGATGGAAGCTTATAATATGGCTCTAAGGCATAATCTGGGTTTTCTACAACCCTGATCCCTGGCTGAGAGAGTTTCATCAGATATTTGCTCTGCTCTCCTTAGTAGACTTTGGGGTAGGGAAGATGAAGGTGACAGCGTCTCCTTAACTCTTCAGACCATGCTGCAGTGAATCTGCTACACAGTTCACTTAAATTAGTTGACAAATGGGTACATAGTATTATGACAGTTAGCTTTGAGGACATCTACAAATCTGAACCACATTCCTGTTTGGTCTTTTGTGTAGAATACTTTCTAATGATTGTGTCTTGATTACTGGAGAGCTGCAGTCCTCTCAAAAAGTATTCATACTTCTTGAACCACAAACCTCAATGTATTTTATTTTGATTTAATGTGGTAAACTAAGTCAGTGTTGGTTTATGAAATAGAGAAACAAGAATGTGTAGTTTATAAATCTGAAATTTATATTTCCTCATGATTTTCCCCCATTCTTTGCCAAATACCTCAAGCACTTTCAAGTTGCCTTCCACCAATTCATAATAGGACTTATGCCTGGATTTTGACTAGGCCATTATAATAGATGACAAGGCTTTGATCTTCATGGCTAAAGTCATAGTCTGACCATGTCTGTTCAAGTTTCAGATCTTTTGGAGCCTCTGCTAGGTTTTTTTTACAGGGTTACCATTTGGGCTGAAACAATTCCTCGAATGATTCAAGTACCTTGATTATTAAAATCCCTGTAACTGTTAGGGAAGTTCAAGTATGAAATATTGGACTGATATTGATAGCCGATAATAATAGTAATTTATAGTACTCTGATTAAATTACACAGTGGTGGA